AAAGAGATTCTAGAAGGACCATCATCCGTATTTTTGGTCAATTTTGAGTTCATGTTCTTTGGAATATCTGGAACATGATCAGATTGCAGGTTAATAGTGGTGAATATTCACAATGGCCCCACGCTCTAAATATAGAAATTTCGCATGATTAGATCTAGTAGGAAGGGAGTTACGACTAAAAAGTACGGCTGGAGAACTATTTCACCGAAGACTTTTGAGCGCTACTGTAGCTTTGTTGGAACTAAGACTTCCTTTTGACGCAGTGAGTTGTGAGAGTATTTTCTTGCTTTTTTGAGAGTGATATGAGTGCTCTTAAAGTTTGCCCTGCTGTTTCTATCAGTGCTGCTGCTCTTCCTCTTTGACGAACTCACAAAAAACTTCAATTTGTATGGTGCCTGTATGACGGTACTAAGCTTAGGCTTAGGCTTATTGAGAAATTCTGCTAGAACCACCTTTCTCCTAGGTTTCTTCCCATATCAACGAGACCTTGGTATGGGAAGGTTCCTTAGCCTTTGGGTTGCTACTCTGAGTGTAAGATGCAGTCGAAGAGTGACTTCGCTTCTTTCCGCATTTTTCTTCGTGGTGTTTACTAACATTGGCTAGTGTTGAGGAGATAACCAGTGAACTCAGTGGTTGAAGGATAAAAAATAACCTTGGGAACCCACTCAAAAAGTAAGAATTAATAAAATAACGGTGTAAATAATAGTGGGACGAACAAATCATTGGAAAAAGCTCCCGAAAAGGTGAACTTTTCCTCCAATCCGTGGAAACCCAACAACTCATGCCCCACTGTCATAAAATCTGCCCAAACCAGGATACCTTCTAGAGAAATCCTTGAAAGGTTAGGTTTGCATACATAATCGACCTCGATTAATTTCACGTTTTTTAGCATGGATTCCACAGCTTTTCCGTGGTTTTCCCCATACTCACAGACAAATGACCGTCTACGAGGGCCGTCTTGCGTTGCAGTAATGCAGCAATCACAGTTTGATCAAAGCCAGCCTGTAGCATATTCAAGCTTCTTCTCGCAACTACCATTTGGACCACGTAAGTGATCAGGATCCGTATCCACGATGAGCTCACTGGCGGAGAGCATGGTAGAGTTGTTTCGGGGTTCCTAAGGTTTCACTACGCTCTAGGACAAATGGCAACTGAATTGTGGAGGGTGCTCTCTGCCTGTGCCGTAACGCTCTCAAGCGGAGCCTAGTCCCGAATAGTAAAAGCCATAATGATAACCTTTTTTATAGCAGGATTTCCATTCCAAGATCTCGACTATCACCTACAAGAAGGAGCCGCCAATTTTCGCCCAAGTGCTGTTGCAGAGAATCCAGCAGATGTTCCTACGTCTATCGCAGATGCAGGAGAATTGCAAAAGCACATGCCTGAGTCAAAGCCGTTTGCAAGTTACCCACAGAGGAGGTTCCTTTTCGCACTTGTAATGTAACGGAAATCCTAGGGCATTTGCTGCTTCAATATCATTACAAGAGCGGTCATACAATTCATATGGAATAAGACTTCCTAGATGTCTACTACGAACAATAAGGTTGTCACAGTATTGTAGAAATCACCTTTCAAGTCAATCTCGTAGGTGTACGGTAACGGTATGCCCTTAAGTTTATAGGACAGACCACACATGAGATATGCAGAGATCTCCGCAGATGTATGTATGAGCGCTATACTGGACTACACCCCTGCACCCTGCAGTGATAACTGTAGTTTGGGTAGCAAAAATCAGTTTCATAGCAGGTAGGCCAACAGCTAGAATTGGATTTGCGGTTTATCGGGTCGGTAGAACCTTTTGAGATCAAAATTCTCTTGCCCGCGGGTTGGTTGGGATACATGGTGTGACCCCACGTTGGAGTGGAACCTAAGACGGATTACACGTCACTCATCGAGTCAGATCACTGAAACGAAGATGCCTTCAAAAGATGTATTTACACCTCCTTCTGGCTAGCCTCTGCTTACTCATAAGTGAATACGAGAAAGTGGGGTTGTGACCGTTGTGACCTTGTGCGACTGATGTGGCGCGTCTTGGCCCAACCTGAAATTTCAGCTCCAGTGATTGCAAAGCAACACTGATGGAAAATCTGGAGTAGACAAGGGGTGGGGCTAAAGACACCATCAAAATGAATACATCAAAAGAGGAGAAAGAAAATGGATAAAAAGTTAAGGGCGAAGGAGATCAGCATATCCATTACATTGCTTTCAGCTTCGTAGATACTGAATTCTCACTATTCAACCACACAATGTTTCAATATCCTATGCCCAACATGGATCTATCACATTTCCCAATGAGAAAGGTAGAAAAGCTTTTCTAGAAGAGATCGTCCTCATCGCCATTATAAAAACTTGCAGGAAGAATTTAGTTTGTATCAACCTGCTCCAATTCCAAACCTCCTCAGTGAAACCACCTCTGATCCCAGTGCTCAGACTTCTACTACCTCCAGACACAGTGAAAAGTCTTGTAGCGCTATGCAGAACTGTCAGGTTAGTCTTAACCCAGCTTTATAGTTTAGTGAGGTTCGCAGATGACCGATTCTGGGCTTGAAAGAGAGTGCCTGTCTTCAGGTCTGTCACACAACGCTAGCCAACGGTCTGCACTTTGGAGCACGAACATGTGCAGCTTGTGCAGCTTTTTTTCGAAGAACAATAAGTGATGGGAAAAAATATGTCTGCAAAAGGAGCCAACGTTGTAACAATCCGACAAAGGACGGTAAGACAGTCACAATGTGATGGGGGAAATAATTTTTTGTTTATTTTTTGCAATTATTATTTTTGCTATAAAAAACGTCAAAAGCATCACTCAAAAGTCTTCCCATCTTATAAGCAACCTCACCGCCGTCTCTGCCGACTGTCGTTTCACATCTAATTAGAGCCTGGAATCGATTATCTACAATTGATCACAGGTGTTCAAGTAACCGAACAATCATAAATGGCCAGTATTTCAGCTACGGGATACCGGAAGATCTGTCGGAGCTGCCGCTTGAAACGATGCATGGACATTGGGATGCTACCAGATAGTGAGTTTTCAATTTCTTTTATATTCTTCCACTTTTTCGGACATATGCTCATGATGTATATAATCTCGTGAAGATGTACGAAGGTGAAGGGTTTCATACGTCTACGAATTATCATCAAAGCACGCCATATATTCGACTTTTACGGTTTTGGCTGAAAGGCGTAGTTCGTTGATACACGCTATATCGTGATAGAAGTAGCAGAAAGAAGGTGGCAAGAAGACTTGACCTTCCTAGACGAATCTGTGGTGTAAATCGAGGAAGGCTTGGCTAATCTGTTCTAGAGTTCATCTGTGACAAAATCCGTACCATAAATGGGGAAATAGGACCACATGCTTTTTGACCTCCACCTCTGCTAAAAAAAACGCGTTCGGAGTAATTCATATGATATATTAGATATGTAGCGCGAGAAGATGTCTTTCCAGATGTTCAACATAAGAGATGTCGTCGCGATAGCCCTACATCTACAGTGCCGAAGCCATTCAATACAATGCTACAGCCATTCTGTAGTCATATTCCGGATGGCAACATTCCTCGCATCTCTTCATCGATCTGACTGATAGGACAGATCCTACATAAACTGCAGGTCCAGTAAAGAATAGGGCTTTGAATATATTACTCTTAAGGATGAGATTTAGTGAGTTTCAGATTATCAGCTGCAAAACAGGATACACATCCACGTGATTTTTCACATCAAATCGTGCCTTTACAGCCTTGGCCAGCTCTCGGAACAGATTTACTGTGTTTTCAACTCTATAAAGATCCAGTAAAGCAGAGAAACCGGAACCTTTGAAGATTGTGTTCCTTGCCATTCATGACGGCATTATGAAAAAAGGCGATAAAAGCTTTCCTCTTCGATTATTTCTAATCTAATTTTGATCACGCAAAGAAATGAAAACAGTTCGAAGGCGGAGACCTAGAAGCATGATTTCACCATGATTTTTCAGTTTTTACACACCTAAAAATCCCTTTTCCCATCGGCCACTCTGGCTTATGCTTCAAATTTGGTAAAAAGATATGAGTGTCTACAAAAGGACTGCTGAATCAGGACCACGTCCAACCGTCACTAGTGGTTCACCTCAAATTCGGCACGAGCAACTCTGATGACTTCCACCCAACCATAACTTGGCGCCGACCCACACCTCATTTAATAAAAAGCTATAATCCAATGATTGGTTTCGTATTCATGTTTCTCGCTAACGGGAAGTTTTAATTGTTCAAACTCAGGTCTCGACCCATAAATAATCGAGCTGAAATATGCCTAAGCCTCTAGTTTTTTTTTTGTAATTTCAGTATGGAATCAATTAGGGAACAACTCAGCCGGTAAGTCAGATTGGCCACAACAAAACCTTTTCTTCACATCCAAGAGTAGTGAAGGGATTCCTGAAACTGCTCATCCAACATTCAATTCCAATTGATGATGGGAATCCAATGAAAAAACCGTTTTGTTGCGAACCCACCTGCCATATGAACTATTACAGTACCCTTTGCTGAACCCTACCGTATTTTTTTCTTTAAGTGAAAAAACACCTCTATCTGTATCAGAAGCTTTCTTCCACAACGGCCTACAGAGGATCTGGTTGAAGGCCGAAACCGCTATCCTTCCTGTTACCTAAAGCTCGTGCAACAGCAAGGGTAGTGGTCACAGCCCTAACCAGACCTTCCGTACGAGGCTTACGAAAAAACCAGACAAAATAGAGTTCGATGAAAACTTATGGGAATGAATTTTATTCATATTCTTCTCCTCTGTAACAAATCATTTTGTACAAACATTAAACAAAGAGTGCCGACGGACGGATGAAAATGGCTCCAATCACGCGACGATATGAATGAGTGGACCTATGTAAACTACGCAAATAAAACCTACTATTACAACAAATATTTGGAAGAAAAAATAGATAGAGACAGATCCTGAACGAATGGTTCCCTAGCTGAACATGAACAAAGGAAAAAATATTAGGTGAAGGTCGCAAAATGTTTGTTGTCTCTCAGATTTTCGTTGAAAGAGAGCAAAATTGAGCAAATCCGAAAAAAGCCTATAATCAAAAAGGGAAATCGCAATAGGAACTGGGATAGACTTCAAGGCAACGTACGTGTTGGCAGTGAAAAGAGTTACCAAAGTCCTACAACCGCGGACATCGAAGGAAATAAGGAGCACCAGGTTGTGAAGCTCGATTCCCTTCGTTGCAATTGTAGGACCAATGGCAAAACACGAACGAAACATTGTCCGCTGTCGAAAACAGTTGCTGTAGGGAAGGGGGCGAAAACTCGGACATATTGGCAGATTATGATGAACCCGTAGACGACCCTGGTGTAATTAAACAATGAAAGGCAAAAGTCGATCAGTCAGCCGCATTGGAGAGGACTTGTCAGCTTCGGAATAGGACAGAGATCCAGCAGCAGCAACAGCACTACGCCAGAGGTACCGTAGTATCATAGATTGATGGTGCTCGTGCGATAATCAGAATTGTACCTAGTGCACAAGCGAATGTAAATAGCAATAGAAATACCCGATCCATCACCACTGAGACATATTTCCAATCTTCGATGACCTGAAAGAAAAAGGAATCAGGTAAAACAAAAAAGACATCCAGGCTGAAGGACAGAGACCCTTCCGTACACAATTAGGATTTGACTAAGCTGTTTGCTGCCAATCAAATTCACTTCCTGGGATACGCCATGCAGCCGTCTTTCAGCAGGAATTGATAACGAACGCTGGCAAATATTTTTCAGCACGAAGAAATGCGCTAATGAGAAACTCGAGAATTATGAGGATGGGCAGACGCTGATAAATAGGTTGTGAAAGACTTTTCACTTCACGAGGAAAATGAATTATTGATACAAAAATTGAGAAGTCCAGGCGCTGTAAACTTAAAAAAACGGCAACAAAAATCGCATGGGATTAATAATTCTGTAGAATAGTCCAGAACTGTAATGCTCATCCTTGGCTTGGGGTGAAGTGGTAGGATAATTAATGTCTTTGTAAAAAGGTCACAAAGCGGTTTTACTGTGGAAAACAAACTATTACGATCACTCCACAAAGTAAATCCAATTGCCTCACCTGCTTATCATCTTCTTCATTTTTCAAGTGATCGGCTATGTACGCCACACTTTCCACGGCCGATCTCACAGGAGATACATCACTAAAAAATATCTATTTTGATTGCTACAACACATATGCATGTACATAATCTTTTTAATAATCGACAGCTAAGAATAGGGAGATTCCCTGAACATAGCAAAACACTTATTAAAGCAAGGTTATGACGAAGGTGTTACTGCATCTGCATGCAAAGTTCTCTACAACGAACCCAGCCCTACCCATCTTCAAGTTGTCGGGGACCTCTAATTTGATGATTGCAGAACGACAGAAGAGTGTAGGATATTGCCTTTGATGCCAAACAATCCTTCTACGGGATGCACCTCGCGTTCGACCTAATTCAGATGGTAGGTGCGTGTTGAATGGGTGTTTTTTCGACACAAGGGCTGGTTTTAGCCAGGCGATGTACATGTCAGTGCTTTCATTCTCCCAGACGAGCCTGACGCCGATCGACCCTCCCCTGAGGGGAGGAGCGCTTGGTTGGCCTGAACGAGAATCGACCTTGGACTCGATCCTAGACCATTCGTGTATATCAGTGCGACACCTGTCACTACCCCAACTTCGCCCTTCTACAGTGATAAGGATGAAGTACTCTTGAAGTTAATTTCAAGCCACCGAGTAAGCCACCTCTAGAAGAAACAAAAAACACAACTGAGTGCTCCTTTCACAGCCTCGCTGTCGTCTGCTCGAAGATCCGATGTTGTCCGCACCACTCTTGCCGTGTTGGATTGGCAGGACGGCTACAAACAACATCAGATCTCGGAGAAGACGGCAAAAATTGGATTGTTTTCGATGTGGTTGAGACGATTTCGAAACTGACGTTAAGAACATTCAAACGGTCGGACTATGTCCCGAAATGGAAAATATCAATGCACATCTCCATCCACTTGTTTTGATTTCATATCCGAGAATTTCGAGCACAAGTAGTGCACAAAAACAAAAGGCCGAGACATACTCACACTTCTCACGCTGCAGACGAATAAAAGGCTCAGATTTCGACTTTTGGTGATTTAGACTTAGACGAGTGATGCAAGTTATAGAGTGGAATAGGGCAAAAATGGCAAAGAAAACGCGAAAATTGGCGTATTCAGATATGTATCATACTTGAAAAGAGAAGTAAAATCATGGATTAGACAAGAATATAATGAAAGAAGTTGCAAGGAATGGGTACTTGGAAGAGCTGCCCAAATGCTCACGCCAGTAAGCTGCCTGCTGCAAAGTGTGGATCCCTTCGCGAATGGATCACCCTCTACAGTTTCACAACGCTGAAGAACTCGTCCGTCTTGGGTGTCTACGTGGCTAAACTGGAGCCCCAATTACGCCCTATTTTGTCTGATTCTCGACCCAAGGCTATCCTTGTGAGTCACAGGCCCACCCTAGGAAGTAGCTAATTCCAATACCGGTATTCTTTTCTACATTCAAAAGCAAGGTATCTCATTACTGCGTTCCGTCCATTAGCATAGTATAAGGTTCTCCGTAGCTCATTGTGTTACATTTTTACTTTCTTCTATTTTATCGTGTGCTTTTTTCCTTTAATAATATATGTTGTTAACATACCAACAGCATGTAATAAAGTAAGTAAGTAAAGTAATCTCAGAAACTGTCTTCAATGCGAACCGTGCCTTTAAGGCAGACGGTAAGCCAATCAAGCTTTGGGAATAGCGTAATTTTTGTTGAGTCACTGCATGCCTGTCAAACACCGAAAAGGATAACTTTGAACGAAGGGCAAAAATCTGCCTATGGCCTGAAAGATTGGCTTTTGAGTGGACGTTTCTACCGAGCCACCAAACTTTGAATCCTCATGATGCCATTCTTAGAATATTTTATGCCTTGGCAATGTTACCATCGACTTTTCTGGAGATAAACTTTGTTTTTCGTGAAAAATGTGCTGAATCGACTTCATCATGAACTACGTCTTCGAATGAAATCAGCCATTAGAAGAAAGTTGTATGAATTAACTAGATGGATTTAAATTCCATAAAAAGGTCGATATTTGCTTTTCTGTCATTGGAATCATGGCTGTCTGTTGGACGGGGGCCGCCGTTTCGAACGAAAATCCTAGGGTTTACACGGAATGTCTGGCAACATCAATCAAATCCATCTGTCATTACTCTTATCTCGAACGGAAACGATTCAACTCATAACTTATGGCTTGTTTTTATTATGCAGCATCGTCTCTCCAAAATATATGTCTATGGGTACGAGTTTCCGAGCAGAGCAAATGCAAAAGTCTGCTCAACGAAAGAACTTGGAAACGTCTGGCAATCCGAAAGTGGTTTTGCTAGGCTTGGCCCTACCTCAAATTTGCAACTTTAGCCTCCCAAATTAGTCCAGGTTAAACTTCTCTCGATTTCTGATGGTGGTAATTTGCACAAAATCCCTTTTCCTAGGATTCACTGGTAACTTTTTCTTATTGTTTACTCTTCTCCCTCCCCATGAGAGTTGAAGATGCCCGCTTCTCGTCGTGTGCGTGTTACAGTATCCTTCTATGGTGAGGACGTGAATTTTTACAGTATCTCCAGATTAGAAAAGCGAATATACAGTGAAAATTGCAGAATCTGACAACATTAAATAAGTAAATCAGGATAAAAAGAGAATTTGAGATCATACCGATGGAATGAAGATGTGTCCTCGGCAGATCCTGCTGCAAACGAAGTTCGAAATGTCGTCGGTGAAAGGAGATCGAGATTCTGAAAATGTGCCCAGTCGGATTAGAACTTTGAGGAAGCTAACTAATAAACTGACGTGATCGGTTCCTCTGGCGAATTGGGTGTTGGCCTGCGGTGTGCTGAACGTCGTTCGCGGCTCCTTCCTCTATAACTGATGTGATTGATTCAGTTGTCAAGAATCGAAAAAACGTTCAATGCAGACCTTATGTTCTGGTCGAGGTGGCCGCTTCATCAGAAGGTACTTCGGCAGAATTTCAATGAAAAACCGTCGAACACATTCTGGCATGTTATGGGTCGACGGTGAACGGTAGTGAACGTTCTAAACGGGATTACGGTAGAGTTGAACTACGGTAGAAAAGAAGACGGCCATTAGGTCCGATTTGCGGCCGCGCGAGTTTACCTCGCGAGAGGCTCGGTTTCAGAATGAACCTCAATGGTGTGTGCTCCCCTAATGATTATCATTCAACAGCAATGATTGAGAGATTCAGACCTCATTGCACCTTCTTTTGATAACTACCTATACCTCAATAACTAGTACGCTCCTGCTCAAGGAAAAGCTTCAGCACACCTATGTAGGCAAAAAACGGACCTAATGACACACACTCTGCGTTAAGGTTAGTGTGAAAAAGTTGAAAATAAACACTAACCAACGTGATGACCGTGACGATAACACTAAGAGTGACCAGCACCATAGTAAAGAGAAGGTATTTGCCTATCAAAGGTATGACAAGAGATGTCGACGGAATGATCTCAACTGAAAGAAGAATCATTCCAATGCATGACAAGTTTCGAAAATAAAAATGAAAAAAGGTAAATAGGGAATTGCTTACCCAACAACAAAAAGAAAACAGTGAGAGAAATAAGGATAGAGATACATAGTGATATCTTTTCGCCTCCGTCCGACGGCAAATAGAACACAAGAGCCGTTAGAAAACTGGAATTGGAATTGAATCACGAACAAGCATGGATTTTTGATTGAAGTAAGTAGAGGTAAACACCGAGAAATGTAAATTGTTAGGTAAGAGAAGAATGTTGGCCTCACCTTATACCTACTGAGGGAAATATAAGATTCACAGTATAGAAGAGCGTTTTTCTTCTCAAATGGATTTCATAGGTGATGTCTATGAATGGGCTTTCGCAACATGGATACCTGAAAAACTAGTACATAGATCTATCTATTTTAACCAAAAAATGATCTGTACTGTGCAGTTACTGATCTTATTTACTACGTTACTTATATTCAACTAGTAAAATCGATGGTTATCTTCTTGAGAAGAATGGATTGGATTTGGAGCTTTTGAGACATGAGGATTCAGCTCAATCCTCCCCGAGACCCTTTGCATTCGCGCATCCGAAGCTGAGTGGAACTGCCATATTGGACGGCTTTTTCACTATTCTTGACCGACAAAATTAATTAATTTTTCCTTCTAGAAGACTGAAATAATTTTCCGACAGCGTAAATCCTCAAGGGCCTCAGAAGGATCCTGCCGGAGTCGTTTTCGCATCCATGTAGCTGAGAACCATGCAGAAAGAATCTGATATCTGTGTCATGACCCTCATCTCCACGTCATGATAGGAATTTTCTGAAAACTCTGAAGCTCCCTCTACCTTCCGAAGGAATTCATTCACTTGGTAGCCAAAACAACATCATGAAAGCTGTTTTGAAGTGATGTTGACGTTTGTCAGATGCAACAATCATAAATTCCATTACCGCTGTATGCGGCGAGAAAGTTGCATCTACATACCCCTAGAGGGGAATGTGTAATCCGTCAGTTTTTGCTACAACTTTTTTTATCATCTCTAAAAACGCCTCCCTCGCTCTTTGAAAAATCACCGACCATTTGGGAACGAATTTCTTGCCGAAATAAAGTTTCCCCATGTGAAATATCGAAGAAAAGCGACATTGATGTTGATTTCATGTAAATGAATTCTCCTGAGTTTCTTCTTCACAGAAAAAGGGAGGAAACGCAATGGCTGTAGGCGTCACCGGCTCTTACGCGTCCCCATTTCGATTCCGCCACGGTCAACTAATCCCTGCTGTTTTCGGATCGCCTCATTTTAACCATGCTCCCATGACAGAAACTAATAGGTCACCTCTTTCATTTAAATTATGTGTATACAAATGCAAATATATGTATTTGCTGAGGAGGTGAGGATGGCGTAGTGGCAAATGGCACACTATCACACCCAGGGTTCAAGGATCGAACTCCAAATCAATACACGTCTAAGCAAACGAAACTTCCATGTCACAGGACAGGGCTACCACAGACGTTAGGGAGGAGAAAAGCACGGTCTTGCTGGCTGGCAACCAAAAGCCATACTATAAACCACATAAGTGCGTATTCAAAACGCCACTAAGATTCTGAAGGCAGTGGAATGTAAGGCGCATTCTATGAGCGGGATTAACGCACATTGAGGACGAATTCAAAGCCCTACGCCTGGAGAAAAGCTTATCACGCGAAATCGCATTCCGGGTAACGTTGGATGGACAACGAAGTGATTCCTTCATGTGACGGACATACTACTGAAACACTACTAGTAATCCAATAATAAGATGTTTGCAGAGTGAACATCAAATGAATTCCCCCTGACAGGGGGATGTCGCAAATGAAGAAAACATTAATTCTATCCCTAAGAGCAAAGACAAAAAGGCTATCCGCTGACAACGTGGGAAACCACACGACACCGTCTCCGGTTGCAAACCGTCATGCACGCAGAGGTCTCACGACTACAATCTTACACCAATTCTCTACTTTACTTACACTTTAAGCTGTTTAAGGTAAACTTTTTGGCGACGAAATTGTCTTCGGAGGTAAATATAATTTTTCGATCACCGGCTACTCCATAAAAATGGATTTGTAGCTCAACTCGAGTAAAAAGACTTCCACGGCTTTGAGTGCAAAACGAGGACATGGCACGGACTTGAACGTGTGTTCAACCCCTGCCCAATAAGCCTTTCCGCCATTATTCTCCATGCTACCTCATTAGGGCCTATACTGAGTAATAATCCATCAGAAAAAGGCCCTGTAGTTGGCCAGAATGAACCTCCGCTCATGTTGGCCTTTTAAGGACGTAGATGGCCAGAACCCACAGGGCATGCTACCATGTGAGATGTTTGGGAGTTATTTATCACCTTTTTAACCACTGCATCGACCCAGAGGGAGAATATGAAAGCCATTGATGGAATATTCGTCTATGAATCCCTTTTCCCCAACCTCCACGTTGCCTCAAACGCTGGCAACCCTTGCAGCTCTATCTAGCGTGGTTTATTTGCTTTCAGGGAGAAGTGAGTAAAAAAATGCCTGCACAAACAAAAGTTCGTCAGGCCTTGGATAAGTGATACCCAAGAATAAGTGCATTATGGGAAAGCTACGGAGCTCCTGCATAATCGTATCCCCATTCCCTTAGTCAGTTCTTGCATCTCTGCCTCGCTCTGACAGCCCGTTCGCCCGTTGACTCGTCAGCTTGTTTAAAAGACGATTCGAAGCTGCCGGCATTTGACGGAAAAAGGAATTCATTGCTCAGTCGTGAAAAATCATTTTGCTGTCGCCCTCTGGGGAATTCGCCGCCAGTCCCTTTCGGGCCGAACACCCACCAATCGATGCTCCCCCGCACATGATATTAATATTATTTTGGAAGCGTACGAAAAAACCTTTGAAGGGCACCACGTGAAAAATGGGGGAGCATATCCTGGTAAAAATTGTCAGAGGGCAGCCTAAATTCCCATTTGGGATTACTTGAATGAATTGAAAAAAATTATCAGTAGATAAATCAAAGAGCGGCACTCAAATGGAAATTAACAAATAGTTGCAGCAGGTTTAGACAGTTTAGATCAGGAGTTTTTTTTACGAAGCTGTTCACAGAGGGATTCCATACAAACTGCTTGTACTAAAAACCGCTGAAAATCGGGCATCGACAAAGCAAATGGAACAAACCCTCGATTTTTTGCTCAAAATACCTGCCTATCTATAATTTCTAAGTAAACAACGAGCAATAAAAGCAGTAAACAAGTGTTGTAGAGGAGTAAAGAATCCTCCTTTATTGAAGCAATATACATAGTTCCGAATTGTTAACGACTAAGAGACAACGTACCGTTTAGAGTGTCGTTTACCCGGCACTTTGAGTATATCCCATTCGACACTGGGATAGTAGTCACTCAAGTCGATGCCTGTAAAAACTAACTACGTCTTTGCGAATAGTAAATTTCGAAGTAAACTGAGAAAAACAAAATGAAAAATGGCAGGGAAAAACCTTGCCAAAAACTCTGATAGCATAAAATTAAAACTTTGAGATGAAAGAATTTGGACAGATTCCCTAGTTAAAGGCCAACGGCGCAATACTACCCATGGTTTAAAACTGCTATATGACCTAAAAAACGTAAATATTATAGCATATTGATAAGTAAATAAGGCTTCAGCCAAGATTTTATAACTTTTTATTTGGGTAACCTTCGGCCCATCGGTCATAGCATATTGCTTCAAAACTATACGAAACACTGAAAATAAGGAAAGCTATGAAAAATGAAAGTGCATATATCCCTTCAGTGTAGTCAGTCGAAATTATAGTGTTGATTTTTTACTAATCATTATCAGTTTTTTATAGGTTAGAAGGGAGCAGGGCGAAGGGAGGGAGGAGGAGGGTTATAAGTCGCAAATCAATTCAAAAGTCGCAATGCACGTTTAGATGATGAGGTACTTTACAAGCTGACTGTTTTTTTTNTTTTTTTTCGAACGAATCCCGTAATCTCACGCTTCAGTTTAAAATTCATTCCATATGCTTCCCATTGGGGAAAAAACGTTTACAACCACGCCGAGCAATGACTTTCGCTTGAGATGAAGCGTATGAACGATTACTTCGGGTTGTGAAAAGTACAGAGTTTTTGTTAGCTAGTCAATCGTAAGGGCGTTCTTCTACAACTTTGCATACAGCATGTGTCTGCCGCAATAAGTGCTCTGTTACACATTCAACATAACCGTCAAGCCGGCCCATTCGTATGGTAGTAATGCGATCTACGAAAAATACCTACCACAACTGTATTATTTGAATGGGAACAATTCAAAGGTCCTATTAATGTTGTAATCCAAGGAAGTTTTTTAAAATCGGTGAAATTAGAAATCAATACTAGCCCGAATTTCACAATTATTCTCCATAAAAGGTGTAATAAAAGAAGGATGAAAGTAGGAATGAGCAACTGATGGTACTGTTTCCATTGAATCTTAACTTTATAAAGACAAAAGCAAAATATTTACGATAATATTACCAAGCATTAAGTATTATTTAACGCCTAGCACCGTTAATAGTTCGGTTCCGCTTCAAGATTTTTCTACTCGATAATGTAAAAGCCTAAAGTCTAGGGGCCTTAATCAATCCCTTCTGAGAGATGCGCCCACGCATTCGGCTTCCATTCCAAATCGAATGCATGTGTGGCCGATACAGTGACTTGCAGTGACCAGCCGATGTACAAGTCAGTGCTTTTATCCTCCCAGACGAGCCTGGTGCCATTTAACCGACCCCGGAGGGATGGAAGGCTTGGTTGGCCTAGGCGGATCACTGATCTCTACTTGATAGAGCCAAGAAATATTTGAAACTCATTACTCAGCTACTTGATTCTTTTGAGCACAGACTTCCTCTCGTTTTTATGGCGATTGCGCCAATCTCAACTTGGAACATGCTCAGAAAATATCACTAGAAGAAAATTAATTCGAACACGCTGAAGAAACAGCAAAAAAGGAGTTGAAGAAATACTTATCAATAAAAAAGAAAAACAAGAGCCTTCCAAAAGAAACCCTGAAAGCTCGAAACGCCTACAAATGTGCGAGAAAAAAATAACTGCAATCAACTAATTTTATAGTGATGCCTGTATAAGAAAGCAGCACGGTTCAGATGATTTCTACATGACAACCCTTCAATCATGTTGACTCAAGTAGGGAAAAAATAAATTTGGTAATAAAAAACTCATAGTTTCATGTGGAAACAGTCGAGCTGACCTTCATCAACTATCCATACAGATTCTTGGACAGGTCCATCAACACCTTCAACAATCTCAATGGCTTCTTCTTGAAGATGTTCATCCTTGTGTATCAAGTCCACCTCAAGACCACCGTACGTCCAAGATCCTGTAATTCCTTCATCACGAGACGAATAAGAATCGGAATTCATTTACCCATTTCGGAGCTACTACACTTGAAATTTACGGACGGTGGGGTTGACAAGATTTGCACATACCGTCTACATACATACATACTTTGGAGGAATGAGCACGATTTCAACAGTGCATATCTCGAGAATCAGCCCCTCACTTGCTGGTACACAATCCCACTAAGCTAACAGCTAGAAATGACCATTTATCCCAATGCTCGTAAAGGTTGTGCTTATTTGGAAGATTGACGATCTCAATATCAATATTGATAGATTAGTGGCAGCGTGATCCATTTCACTGGATATCCTCAGACACCAAAGAGCGCAAATCGGTTCGGGACATTGAAATCTCCAAATAATTAAAGGAACTAGTAAATATGAGTAAATTTAGGGGATAATAATGGTTAACAAAGCCACAGGGCACAGTATTACTCGAATTGAAGAGGTTGTCAAGACTAAGAAACAGTGCTTGAGTGGGACCTGTACCACGTGCGTTATCTTCTCCATCTACTCCCTTCCAAAAAACGCCGTCAATTTTGGAGGACCTTTCTTTACGAATCAGAAGCAGACACTTCCGCATGTGTGATAGAGAAAAAATCGAGTTCAGGGAGTACTAATCAAGTCGGGAACATATTTTTCCGTCCCCAATCTGGCATAGTAGCCCATAGCACGCGTCATCATTTCCCGTCCCCAATCTGGCATAGTAGCCCATAGGACGCGACATCATCTCGACTTCCTTGAACAGCATGGGACTTCATTGCTTATGGAAAATTCAATCATTCCACCCACGGAATGTTTTGCTCCCGACCGACTTTCGAAAACCTTATGAATTGTACAAGCAACGCCAACTTTAGGAATACCAATTTTGGATGTAGTTCTGTTCATAAAACTTTCAAAAATCACCGAAAAAATCATAGAATTAAGTGAGATCAGTTTAGATGATGACACAATGTTCGTACACTTGTTTTTTTTTNTTTTTTTTTACTTTTTTTTATAAAAATTCTGAACTAGTAGAAGTTAAAGTAGACTTATGAAGATCTGAATTACTTTAAAAAAATCAAGAAAAATATTCCATAGCCAGTTGTCCGATAGCCTGGAATAAGAACAAGAAAGAGCGAAGACACCGACGTCTTCTCTGCATATAATCTTGAATAACAAAAATTAATCAAGAATTCTTTGAAAGGAAAGAAGATCTAAACGTGCCATCAGCACTCACCAAACTTCATTTCGCACTGCTGCCGATCGAATGGAAAAAACTCGACATCTATTTGACACATACTAAAATCCACAGGTCCATAAAAAGTGAAGAAAATAGGCAACGAAGCTGGTCCACACCTTTTATAAATAGCCGGAGGAGCCCACTCGACGGTACCATTATAGGATAATTTGGCCTTTGTCATGATGGTAACTTGATAGTTTCCGTCGGCACTGAAACGAAAAGCTCCTTAAAGATGAAGGTTTTAGCAAGAAATGAAGTGCTAAGGATCATTCATTCGGAATGCGCCATGCACACTGCCCCTAGGTGATCTTGAATTCTTTTTGAATCATTGGAAGTGTCTACTTCTGGCAAATGTGTGACGACAAGCACGGCTAAAACTAATTCACGTAGCATTGTGCATTCATGGTCAAAATAAAATAAATTTCTCTTTTGACGTTATTCTACTGAATACCCTCTTATGAACCTCGGGCGACATTTAAGATAGCCGGAGAAGGGGATTTTGAGTGGGAGGGCTTGGAATTTTGAGAAAAACTGAATGAGCTTTAGGCTTTTTTGAGTTTTATTTCGGTATTTATCAAGCCTGAAACATAACTTGAAGAATACCACCTTCGGATCCATTTAGGTTGATTGTTAACTGTTTATTTATTCATCAGCATTATCTCTGGCCGACGATCTACTTTGTCCTATGCATTTTTTTCAAAACTAACAAACTTCTTTCACTGGACTTGGTTTTTGGAGCACTGCTACATTTAAGTACAAAAGCAAAGGAAGTCCTCATTCAGTAACATGAAAAGCTAAAGGGAAATGTGGCCGGTGCAGAGGGGTGTTCCTGCCATGAAACATATCCAGGAAACAATCCTCCTTCTAAGGATCGGAAAAAGCTCAAGTCGGACCTAATCTACAACGTGCATGGCACCGAATGGATTAGATAAAGACGAGAGCGTACACATCAAAAAAGCTGAAGAGGTAGACGAGCTGAGCGGAAAGTCTTATTTAAAGAAAAACAATGAGGAGCTGAAATCGAAAATCAACGCTGAGTAAAATACAAAACAGGTCTTTCTAAATAACTGCTGGCATTCGACATAATTAGATTTTTAAAAATAGCTATGTTAAAAATATTCAAAAAAAGCAAGGCATACTTGTTATAAAGGACTATGTCTGGTAACCAGATTGTGTCCGAAGGCACGTATAGAACGTCGACACCACCGTAGTCGTCAGGATTCCAGCGAAGCTTGTAATCCGTCCAACTCTGTAACGTCAGAATAAGTAGCATCACCGAATGATCTCGAAATTCTCGGCCACTTTTCTATGATAGGCTTCAACTCGGGGGAACCAAACGATTAAGATCGGTTTTCAAAGTTCAGGTATTCACCTCTCTCAATTTCTGTGCCCGACATTGAATGCCATTACTTATCTTTAGTGCTTCTGGCAAAGGAATTCGCTATTTTGTCCGGATTCAAGTTTGAGTTCGACTTATCAACGATGAGTATTTACTACTATCACTCGTATCTATCATTTTTTAGGCGGAGGACAAATTACTGTTCAATAAACAAACATTCAACGTAAACTTTCTCAATCGGTTGTGGACGTTCCCATACTCTTCAAAAACAGCTCTGCCTTGCTCCATAGTTTGGCATGAGCCAAAACAGACTTTTTTGTCGAGCAATGAAATCTCACTTCTATAGATTTCCCTCAATTTATGACCTTTTCTGGGAAACGAGTGAAAAGGCTCCAATAATTCATGTATTCATATAAGATATGGCCGAGTTCTCCCTCTCACTTTGAATCGTTCAAGTGGATTCAAGCAATTTTGTGTGCCGACATATTTTAAACATTGATGCCTGTCACTTTTTACCAGCCGCTAAACGCTCTCTGAGACCAAAATTCGTTTTTTTTTCTGGTCGTCCCCAAAAAAGAGTTTGTCGACTATTGCATCACTGACAAGACTGGGCATGCTGGTTGAGGAAGCATAAGAGGGTGCTGTCAGCATTCACCCCGACAACAGACAAAAAACGTCACTTGACGGCCCACGACGTCCAGTCAATTGGCGCCCACCTGACCCTTGGAATTCCCGTGAAAATCACTCACTTCCACGAAAACGTATTTGCATTATCAGGCAGGCGGCAAGCTATGTTATGCAGAATGCCGTAGTAAGGGGATTGAATGCCGGCCAAGGACCACTCGTCAAGCCCAGATTGTGGTGGCGCGCTCGTCTCAATACGGAGAGCTCAGAGAGTCTGGCTCGCACTATATGGTTCGAGCTTGATAGCTTGAGCCTCAGGATCGGTTTCCGATGTATGGGAACACGAACAAGCTTTCTCTGAGCAGAATAAAAAGACAAACTCATTCTTTGTTATCGAGCAAGGTTCCTACGTCTTCAGAACAAATCTTCAGAATGTACTTTGTCTCAAGACTTTTTGGTCTCTAACTGCAAGAGGATTTTCCACGGGAGGAATGTTAAACCGATCACAGAATAGCAGAGTCAAAGGGCTTTATAAGGCTATGTGCTCGATATGAAGTAGCTATTGGCTACTGAACCATGTAAGCTCGGTAATGGCCTTGCTTTGAGTTCATGATCAGGGATCGAATCTCGGATTGAAAGCTGGGTATAGGGTCAGTAGGCTAACCAAAAATCATGTTTTTCCTCAAGACGGCAAGTCAAGTTGGTCTGGATGTTACCGTACGCTTGTGGTTAGAACTCATGCAGAAGGCTCCTACGAATGTAATGGAAAACTTGTAGGTGTGTCTGGAAACGAACTGGCCTAGGTGATTCTGACTAAAACCATTCTCACAACGTACTCAGAATCCCTAAAAGTGTGCCTATAACTAATTACTAATTAGTTGTTGTGGCGAACTCGTATTCCGCTTGAACCGATCGAAGAGACAACAAGTGTTAAGAGTAGAGGCGAACTTGGATATTACTTTCACACCTCATAGTGCTATCTGAGAGGCACTAGTAACCTGATACCTCTCGAAAACAAAAACAATAAATATCCACACTGTTTTCTCCACGAAAATATAGCATTAGTTTCCAACGGATATTAGCCGGGTGATATTCAATTCCCCTTTACTCAAAATTGAGCGAGGAGAGAGGAAAGTTGCTATGGAAGCCAAGTTCATGTCTCAATCCGTAGGTCGCTACCATAAATATGGCAAAAACGATTGACCGAAAACAGTAAAGTCGGTAGCTTTCGCATAATTGTTCGTGGTCTTAACTTTGTTAGATCTTGACGACCGAACCCGGGGGCAACCTGTTTCGTTTTGGTGGTCTTGGAATTCTGCCCAGTCCGAGCGCAGATTTGGAGCTGATCTCGCCCCCAGATGGAACTGCAACATCCTATGAAAGTCTGCTTGCTAGCAGAAACAGAAGTGTCTAGGGAAAAAAAGAGTTTCTAGGCTAATCAAGACGAAACTCGTGGAGATCAACCTCATGCAAACCATCTATTCATTCCTGTAGATCTCTTCGAAACCCTTTCAAATGAATCCGTAATCCTGACAAGGAAGCGAGTGCATGGCACATGTCAGAGCAATTAGTTTAAGATCAATACATTGTGTTTTTTCATGCTGATTTTTATTACTTCGGTTTAATCCATACATCCAATCTTCAAGGCAGCATAATTCAATAGGAAGCTCCTCCTAAAGAATGACTCTCGTGGGTACTGAAAGAAATTCGAGGGCACTACCGATGGCACCAAGGCAACTTCTGGAAAGCCTGTAAAAAGTTGCTAAGATTGATTGGAACCCGAGGGGCCGATTTTGTAGAACGAAATATAATCGAGTTGCTGGTAAAATATTTCCTGCACTTCAAATGTTGCATGAAGAAATTTCTTGATGGGCCCCTAGAATTCAATCCCTAAGATCCATACTGAGCGAATGCCCAAAGCCATCCAAATGTGTATTGAGCTAATCCGGTTTGCTTCAAGAGGAAATATTATAGGGGAATAATAGTTCTTTTAGACTGATCGTGAAAAGGTCGAGTAAGACTAAGGACCAAAGGAAAACAAAGAACAATTCCTCGAAGGCCTATAGTTCACCGAAGACGAAATTTCCGGCCTACACCTTAACTAATTTGTACAAAAACTAATACAATAAAGGGTTAAAACTAGTTTCACGGACGGATTCGCGTGAGGGAGCACGTCCTGTATGTACAACGTGGGTGTCCCTCTTTATTCACCGGGTATACCTCGTTAATATTTCGAATAATCTTTCGCCCCCTTTGCCTTTGTTCCAGTACCCAAAGGCCTATGTTTGCTAGACCTCGGAGCTCATTACTCAGATCTACTGTAACCCTACCGTCTACTGTAAGTGAAACCTCCTCCAAATCAGGAACAGCCTGGGCTCTTCCCATTCTATCAGCCTCCATGTTTTAGAATGCAAAATTACTTGTTTGTTTGTTGTTATTATTTGTTTATTATTCATTAGCTTCCAGCGCGGCGCGCCTCCTCGAGGTTTTCTATGTATGTATATTATCAGTTTGCGAATAGACCTATACGATCACCCTCTGGGGTCTCTAAGGTATTCCTACAGTGTTTGACATTCAAAAAGAAGGCCCGACATTCAGAAAAAAAGCAAAATGCAAAGAACGACTCACGTGCTGAAGCCAGACGTTGGTTGTCATGATTTGATTTTTTTCATGCTGAAAATAATCTCTTCGAAATGCGGTTTTCCCACTTCCATTCCCTTCATATCTTTCAATATCCTATCAAGACTGCCAGCGATGAGCGCTGATAGGTGAACAAGTGCAGTACAAATGAGACCGGAGATTGACAGATTTGAAGAGCCGTCACACCCGCGCTAACAGGCTCCCACTAACGGATCAACTTCTGCCACTTCCTGTGATCGTCATGGCCCACCACAGGCAGTAGCAGACCACAGGGAGAGAATCTTTTAACGTACTGACCACGTCTAGTAATTGACTAAGCTTCAGTTTAAATCGGACGACGAGCGTGTCGCTGTTGTTATCGACGGGCCGGACGAGTTTGTTGTAGTCGGCGAGCAGATCCTCGAATAGACGATTCGCATCGCGATTCGCGTGCGATATCGCGTACATCGCCACCGCCCACGCTATCACAAACACTTGTCGCGTCAGCATTCGGCCCCATCCACTGAAAATCAATAAATCGATTATTGACTTGCCAAAAAATCGCTGCCTACTGTAATGGCTATGTGGGGCAACCGTAAGCATCAAACTCAATATTGAAAAATCCGAAAATTAACGGGAAAAACAGACCTTCTATCTGTTGGTGACCGGTTGGCTACATGTGGCCATCAACTAGGCAGATCTGTTCAAAAATTAAATTTAGCTGGGAAAAATCCTGAAGAAAAATTGCAACCTCCGAGCAATAGAAAAACAGAAAAAAATCCATTTCGACAATGAAAAAGTTGTGCTACGGTATGAATCGATTGACGGAAGCAAGCCGAAGCAAGCAATAAACATCAATTTTTAAAGCAGTACGCTCAAACAGAGACAAAGAAAGAATATGCAGATGGCAGACGTCGATTTCGTAGAGCAAAGACCATAAATAGCTTCTACATCGCCCTCAATGGACGCCAAATTGCATGAAATCAGTGAGCAGGGGCTGGGTAACCTTCCCCCTTTTCAGCACTTTCAGAACAACAACAACTGGGGCCACCTCTAGCCCAACCCCAGCTCCGGAGCTACCAGAATTAGGCTATATGTCTCCGAAAGTTAAGCAGACGGAAGTTTGTATTGACGGTCTTCGAAAGATCTTTGAAATTGCAGTGTGAAGTAGAAGATCGATGTCAGCTCTTGAATTGGTGGTTGTGGTGGGAGAGGGGAATCTCATTCTTTGAAATACTCGAGTACTTGGGAGGGAGAAGGATGAATGGGAAGAAGAGGGTGAATAAAGTACTCATACATGAGCCTATTAAAATCTACTGTACTCTTACTCTATGTGATTATACCCATATGGATTCCGAGTGCATTCTCATCAAAAATAAACGAGTATTCAAGTTGAGGGCTAAAAGAGAAGTTGTTTTGGGCCCCCATACATAACACTACCGAAACTGCATGACTGAAAATTTGTAAAAATGAGAGATACTGAGTGATCATAGTTAATTTCAATCTCTGAGGGCTCTATGGAACACGGTAGCTAGCCTATATCGCATCTTTGATTCACAGACTTTTAAAAACGCTCGTGAAACTAAAAAACAAATGAGAAACAGTGAAGGGGCTGGCTGGCTAGGAAGAAAATGTTCGAACCGTTTTTTGCTTTAATGATGAGAATCTATTGGGGAATGGGAATCCATTGTGAGAGAATGTATGAGATGAGCGACAATGGGACGTTTTCTAAGCCCCGGGTAAGCCCGTTAGGCAGGCTTAGTGATGGCCAAAGGCGAGGAGTCGCGGGACGAAGCCAGCCAGCAGCCAGCTCGTGTGTCCTTCCAAACCAGTAGCAGCAACAACACACCTAAAGAGCGAGTGTTTGAGGGGTTTGGGAATAAAGGAGTTTCAGGATCGCCCTCACTTTCGGGACAACCTTTCCCTGATTCTTTCCATTACTGTTCTCAGGTTGATCAATTCTGATTCAGTCACCAGGGTGACCAGGGTGACCAGGGTGATTACCTTGAAGCTCGATAATCAGGTGTGATTTCTGATGCGTGAGCTTTCATCACTCCTCTTGAACACCATGGCATCTGTCGCTCAGCAGCTCTGTCCTCATTCTGTTTTACTTTTTGTCCTCAGAACAAGACAACTGACCGACTACTCATAAGTGAAGTGTCANTCAGGTGTGATTTCTGATGCGTGAGCTTTCATCACTCCTCTTGAACACCATGCCATCTGTCGCTCAACACTCCCTGCCCTCATTCTGTTTTACTTTTTGTCCTCAGAACAAGACAACTGACCGACTACTCATAAGTGAAGTGTCAATAACTCCTGAGGCATCCGGCATGGCATATATCTCTCTTTCGCGTTTTAGGCTTCTCAAAGGAGCTTTCCAGGAAAACAGCAATGAGAATGATAGGGAAATTACGGATCTTTGGGTGAGCTTTACTCAAGTAGTTCACCGGAAACCCCTCGGAAGGATCTTTGGCTCTTCGAACAGACAAAAACGTTTTTGCCACTGTGTTAGGTTAACGCTGTCAAGCTAAAAAGATGCCTTATTCGGAAAGTCCGAAAAATTTTGTGGCAGAACAAAGATGCCTTTGAGAACTGGGCCAGACTGAAGTTGCTCCTGGCCTCTTACAGGCATTGAGAGAAGCCTCAGCCGGAGATTGCCTCCCTCTCTCGGAATGCTATATACTCGACCCGAAAAAGCTGATGGAACTCTGGATATTTACCCAAAAATTGAGCTCGTAGAATGTAACACAAAGAGCTCTATGTATAGGTTGGTGGAACTACCCAGATTTTGCTCGAGGGAGCTTGGGAACCTTGGAGATAAACTACTACTCAAGTTGTCATAGCAAAATGAGTGGGTAGCCCGCCTTGTGGGGTAAAAAACGGCTTCTCTCTTTTTTATCAATCACAACCTATCATGGGAACGCACTTGAGCCGTTACTTTACACGATAACGGCAAAGGTATCCAAAGATATGCTGAAGGTTGCGTGCAGAGCGGCTCGACGAGAAGCGAACCTCACTGAGGGCTCAAAATCGATGGCTGTCATTCTGGTGGCTACACCAATGCCATGCTATTTCAACCATTGGTCTCGTAGCGAGATGCGTAGAAGTTGCCGACATTTTTCGGAACTTTTCAACGGTCCTCAGTTCATCTGCCGCTAGCTGGTTGGTGGCTGTCACCAGAATCAGACCCACACTACGGAGACGCCCACACTACGTCTCAGGAGACTACATTGATGACGAGGTGAAAACGACCGCCGTCCGTCAGTGTAAACACGACAATCTATAGCTGTCTGTCAGCTTAAATGGCGTGAATTCCATCTGAGAGAACAACATCTGGCCTCACGATTTGTCAGGCTGTCGGGCTATACTACAAATAACATTTCAGCCAAGAAATACCACCCTCTACTACTTCATAACGCTAAGTAAAAAAGATTTGAAAGTTGCTCTCCCAGAAGAGCCTTCCTATTTGTTCCAGCAAAGCCTTAGAGGACTATTCGAATCATGGTATTGGAAAAGGAAGTCCAATGAGCAAGAGAAAACCGGAGAAAACGAATTCGGCATTCAATTCGGTTCCCAATCTTGGATGCTCATTGGGAACTTCTCTATGCAAAAGTCCATTTCAAGTCTGAAGCTTATTCTGATGGGTGGTAGCGAACGGGAGGCGATAAACAAAATTCAGCAATAGAATAAAAAACCGTAAACAAAGACAAAACGAGCCTGATTGTTTAGAAGAAGAGGGTGGAGACGTTGGTGGCCAGTGAGNTTGCTCTCCCAGAAGGGGCTTCCTATTTATTCCAGCAAAGCCTAAGAGGACTATTCGAATCATGGTATTGGAAAAGGAGGTCCAATGAGCAAGAGAAAGCCGGAGAAAACGAATTCGGGATTCAATTCGGTTCCCAATCTTGGATGCTCATTGGGAATTTCTTTATGCAAAAGTCCATTTCAAGTATGAAGCTTATTCTGATGGGTGGTAGAGAACTGGAGGCGATAAACAAAATTCAGCAATAGAATAAAAATCCGTAAACAGAGGCAAAACGAGCCTGATTGTTTAGAAGAAGAGGGTGGAGACGTTGGTGGCCAGTGAGGCCAAGATCAAGAAGAAGCTGGATCGAAACTAGCCATGTCAAAGCGGAACGGCAAAGAGGAAATCAGATTTTTGAGCAAATCGTTTTATCCATGATTTCCGAGCAAATAAATTGAATCAACGAAGGATTCACATAGAAAAAGGGGTTTCTTCAATGAAACATTCATGACATATCGGAATGCTTTCAATGAAATCGTCTAGGCGTATTGGGAAAGCATGTGTGTATGTATGTGTGTGGTGGGTGCGTTGAGCGATTGGACAAGCGCTCCGCCCTCGTCGTCGTCAAGCGGAAGGCGAGCACACACACACACACATATCCAAATAAGATGATTTCCATTTGCACGAGAGAGTTCAGGCCACTACAAGTCATCGACCGACTCGCCCACACGTCATCAGCATCTCCCCCAGCTGGCGGAGGTGAGGGAGATTGCTTAGGCTGCTAGTGCCCCTTTAGACTTGGTCTGTTGCGAACAGTACTGGGTGAAATTAGTCAGTAATTCATGATGGATATGTCTATAGCAGGAAAAGTCTGATTTGGACATCATTTTTGTAGGAATTTTCGAGAATAGCTGCTTTCTTGACTGGTAATCAAAGGAAGTCTAGAGCATGGCGCATCCTCCCAACAAAATTCTTGCCACTGGCTCGTTGCAAGCCTTATTTGTAGTGATGGATATTAAGGGTTAAAGCGGCCTTATAGTTTTGCTCAACGCCAAATTTCATCTTACTCAAGAACCTTCCGAGTAAAGTACAACAAGAGGCTAGTTTACCCGAAAACTTCTACGGGCAGGGAGACGTCTGATGAAGCAGAATCCCTTAGGAATGGAATTTCTTCCCCGGAAGAGATTCGAGCCAATCGGTTATGCTTTTAGCTGGAAATTCTGATTTATCCATTATCCCTCCAACAAAAAAAAACAAAGTTACTATTTGTGAAAACACTCGGGTTCTGAAGGCGACGGGCTGGAATTCTGAGAGCAGGGACAAAGAATTATGCAGAAATGCAATAACGGCGATGTGTAACTTGTTGGCATTCGAAAAGAAGTGCTACGTGGGATGGCATACCTGAGAAACAGAAGAAAAAAGGGTCTTCGTGGGACTTTAGTAGATTTTCTAATACACCGTTTCAAAGATCACTTCTCGGTGGAATACCTCATAAAGTGAGAGCGTTTTAACTCTATTTGTGTTGTAAATGGGCAGTTTTGTACTGCAATTTTTGCAGATTTCGATAGCCATATCCGAAAACATCACCAACATTTTGTGGTAATCTCGAAAAAACTTCAAAATTACAGTAAGACAAAAGTGAAGAAAAATATTGGAAATTTTGAATGTTAACGCTTTACAGTGAACAAAAACTTGCTTGTCAACAGATGCACTAATCCAGTTGATGAAAACCATTGATAAGTACTCTGATAGCTAGGATTCAGTGAAT